TCCCGCCGAGGACACGAGGTGCCTATGAAGGTTTCCTCTACGTAAAAGAGAAAGGAAAGGAAGAAGTCGATATGTGGAACAGATTAGTTATCTGATCGTGGTTAATGTTTAAGATTGTGAAAATTTATGAATGTTACTGACTGTATTGCAAGGTAAGGAATTTGTAACATTAAATATACAATTCCATATTCTTCTGAATGCAAATAAAGAAATGTTTCCTAAATAAAAATATCTCCGAGCTAAATATTATAACGTTTTACATTGGATATTTTATGTATTTTTTTATATTATTTATATGCATTCTATATATTTGTACACTTTTAAATTTTCCATAAATACATAAAATTTCTGTTACAAATTATTATAATTTTTATAATAGATGGCTAAATTGATAAAATTATCTGAAAGAAAAGAAAAAATACGCTTTGTGACTCAAAATGTCATGCTTTTTTCCCTCGTTGTAGCAAATAATTGTTGGATAGCAGTTGTTTATACGAATTTATTTTTCTGTAAATATAGCTAAACAAGTAGAACCTTACAGAGATATATTTAAAACATTAAAAATCTTTATCGCTGAAATAAAAGAAAGATTAAAACCGAACCAAATATTTTTGATACTTGCAACATATTAAACTATACCGATTATCACCTGCTAAATTCTGTGTGAAAAGAGCACAACTTGTGACTTACCAAATTCACTGAACAAGCAAAAAAGAAGTTTAGTTTTTTCTAGTGTTTCTAAACAATATTAGCTTTAACTACCTGCCATATGTACATAAATGTGGTACGGTCATTAATAACCCTGTAATTAATTGTTATTAGTTAATTAATAATTAATAACTTGTAATTTAAGAAAAGAGATTGTAATATGAAAATTGAAGAATCGCTGTGGAATTAATTTTATGATGTGTCTGTTGTCTAAAAAACTAGAAACTAGAAGAAAACTAGAAAAAACTAGTGTGCCTGGACCTGTCGGCGTCCTATTGATACCGATCCGCCACACTAGATTGGTTTGAGTTTTCGTTGGTCAAAGTGCAATTTATCTAAATTTCACGTTTCGTGCGTAACCAAGATTTATGTAGCAATTTATTTTAACTTATTTGCCCGGGGCTATAAGACTCAAGTGCATTTTATATATGTTTGTTATGAATGAAACGACTTAATTCGTTTGCATATGTATAGATGTATGAGGTGAAGTTTCTTAATGACAAGTTTAAAATTTGTTTTCGCAACTGAACTTTAGAATTCTTGTTATCAATATTACCAGTTCTTCATATAATTCTTTGTTGTACATACTGACTTTTTATGATTTCAATTTAGATACCATTATTCTAGACTGAAATTGGAATTATTAAAATATGCAGCGCATCCGTAAATTATACTCGAATTTTTTAAATAAACTGTAATTTGAACATATGGTTTGAAGGAAGTCAGGTACGAAAAAGGATTATTTGAAACTTTCTTCCTCACACAATTTTTCTTGTTTTTATCGTTTTGCACGAATTATATTTGAAAATAGAAGATAGAAAGTTCGAAAAAGAAATAAGAAAAAAGAAAAAAGTAATGTACCTTTTCATAAATGTAGCATTTAGATGTAGAATCGATCACTCTAGTATTGGGACACTCTTCAAAACAGGATACCTTTTCAAATGTCTTAAATTTCTTGAGAAGGCAACAGGAAGTTGTAAGGAAAAATTTGAAAGAATTGAAATTGATCGGAATCGTGGAGAAAAATAGTAAAGATTATTTTTTACAAGTTTTTTATCTGAGCGGCTAATGAAAATTTGAACTAATTTGACTAAAAATTTCATCGAAATCGGTTAATGCAGAAACAAATAACAGGTACCGAAAGATGTAAGAATCTTTAGATCTATTATTTTTACTCGGAAGTCGTGAAAAACTGCAATTATCGCCATTTTTAACCGTTTGTAGCTCATAGCAACTTTAACCGACTTTGATCAAATGTTAAGCATGTACATAATTGACATAAATCCACAGAATGTTTTTTACCCGCCGCCTAGTAAATTAATCCTTTTAACTTCCCTCCCCTCCCCCCCGCCCAAAAAAAAACTCAAGTCAAATGTCCGAATATTAATGTGTCCGACTGTATGTACATATGAAGCTTCAGGTCATAAATATTTAGGTTCATCTTTCACGTTTTACCACAACATATTTATTTATTTTACTTTTAATCGTTTGAAATAACTATCTGTCTTCTTTTCTCGCTTTATAACATCGTTATATAACATGGCTTCCATTGATTCATTAACATAGCAATAATAGTGGAATATTTATAATAAATATCGGTATATAGAACATATTAATATGACATTTATAAATATCATAAAACATTAAGAATTTTATCTCTTATTTAATCACTTCAGAATTGATTTTTTCTTAAACTATGTATAATATTTTTCCTTCGCTGATTCCATTATTAATAGTATAAATATACTGTTTTTGTAAAGAAGATATAGTACACTAAGATTTTACTGTTTTATCGAAAACAAATACATCTATTGCTTCATTAATTAATAACTTGTTAAAGTATAATGTGATGTGTACGCAATATCGAACATAAATTAATTAAAAGTTAAAATTTCATAATAAAGCCTATTAGTTTTAGTGTTTTATCGCGACATAGAAAATGTAGATTCAGACTTTCTGGAAGCTAATCTTACTCGATCACTGTTAAAAATACAGAACTATTCGAGTCTAGTAACTATGAGATCACTTTTCACTTTTCTAGGCCGGAAAGAGAAGAATAAATATTCCATGAACAATTTCTAATGCTTTTAAAAATCAATGAATGGCACTTTACATTATTCAATTCTAGTAATATGTTTTATTTTTTGTTTATTTTATTTTTTGGGCCGCTTTGGCATGTTTTTTTTTTAAGGATATGGTTATGATTTTGACACAAGGCAAAGTGATAATGAGAACGATCTTCTGCACGAGATTGACAATGCTTTGAAATTCGGCAAGGGATTTCTGTTTGGGAAAGGTGCGTTTCATTATTTTGCTTAGTTAATTACAGCATGCGTTTTACTGAAAAATTAATGAAAAGTATATAAAAAAATATTATGGGAAGATAACATAGATAATAAATTAGTTTTTACAATACTTATTTATTTTATAAATATGTATTTCAGTTTTTTATTTCAGGTATGCATACAACTTATTTAAAAATTTTATGATATATCTAATCTGACATCTTGTAATTATTATAATTTGTACATCTTCTAATTAACTATATTTTCCGTTGAATTATTCATTCTTTTATCAAAGTCAAAGGAACTTGGTTCTCCATAATGGATTTCTTTCGCTCTTTCATTTGAATTTCTGAAACACCTATCTGTTCCAGTAATGAATAATACATATTTACTAATTTTTACAATAATACATGAAAAACGGAAATGAACTATTTTTTCAAACATCGTATAATATGGAATATATGATATAAAAAATCAGTACAATTTTTGGAAAATACTACAGTTTTTATGCAATCTACACAAAGCGACCAGAAACAGTTTAATATTTAAACGATAGAATAATGAGAAATTTTACAAATAATTATAAACGTAAGTAAAATAATAAAAATGATGAATTAATATGAGGGTAACAAAATCAACCTGGGAAATGTAAAATTTTTACGAATGTTACTTTACTTTACACCCGTGTAATTGAATAGAGTTCAACGTTTTTTGTGAAACTGTACTCAAAGATATAATTAACGCATTCCCTGCTATGTAGGCCAACAGTGATCTATGCTATTTAGTACGAGCACGTACACTAAATAAAAGATTATGTTATTTGTCATCAGCAAACTATAGATTAGAATAGAAATTATATTATATTAAATATAAATTATTATATTTTAAATATTACAACAAATATTTTCCTTTAGATATTTTGTATATTCTTATATATTCTATACGTTTTGTGTATTTTCGTACATTTAAACTTCCCGTAGATGCATAAATAACCGCAGCATACTTATTGGTATTATTTACCAATTAGGAGGAATTGGAAGAAAAGCAAAACCAAAAAGTATCCACGATAAAGAATTTAATATAATTGCAAATATTTTATAATTCAATGCCATACTATAAATTTCTCACTCAGTTTTAAGCTGGTAACATATATTTGTTCTTATAAATAGTTGCAGTGTTCTCTACTTTGCAGTATAGATGACATCGAAACAAATTTCATTAGATGACATTAGATTAAGTTAAAGTGGAATCTTAATTATTCGAACTAATCATATTACATTAATTTATGAATTTTGAAAAACGAAGGATAAAGTTTATTAATCGAACAACTCGTTTCCCTCTGAGGAAAGATCATATTTTAAACTATTTTATAAATGGTAGTATTAAACAGAAAGAAAAACATTTTAATTTCTTAATTTCCCTCATAATCGATATGGGAGCAATTAATCTTTCCATTAATCGGAGTTCTGATAATTGAGATTCGATTGTATTTTTTTCCTATAGCTTACTTACAAAGTGCCTCGCTTTATATATCTATATTATATGTTTCTATTATAAGAAACCAACGTACGGCACAAAATTTTATTTAAAAAGCATTCGTTAATTTTTATTACATCAAACCTATGTAAAATACAAAGCTTTACCTAAAAAGTAATCGTTAATTCGATGTTTGGCATACGGTTCAGCTGCATTTATTCTCCGCGTTACTCCATAGTCACTGTTCGTTAAACCGAAGTTAAGAAAAGCAAAGTTCTACACACCGTCCGTAGATACCATGTCGAAGGTAAATAAAGAGGGAAAAAAAGAATATATACAATTGCTCGAGAAAGTATTGGAATACTTATAGAGACCTTTTGACCAATATATATTATGTGTGTTATACGAAACATTTTGCAATCTCATTAACCTATGAGTTTATTATTATTTATCATATTAACCCTATAGACGAACGAAAATGTATATAAAAGTTACAAGATATTTAGTGTAAGCATGTATGTATTTCGCAAAAATCATAAAAGTATTTAAACATTTATTATATCAATAAGACTAAATATTCGGTGGGTGATGTTTAACAATTATCGTATGCTCAAAATGGCAGTTTATGCTTTACATCAATTTTTTACTAAATATAATTTGCAACGAATATCTTGTAACTTTTATATACATTTTCAGATTAGTTTCACAAAGTGTATTTCTTGTAACACACACAGCATAAATAGATCAAATTTTTGAATTGTAAGGGTTCGAATACTTTTGCGAGCCACTATACGCGGTGTAACATTTATGTTTGACCCGAGACCAAGGATCGTGGTTCGATACGAATTTTCGTGCGTTACGAGAAGCCACGTCACGCTACTATTTTGAATTGCCGGCTTCTGCGTAGTCGAACGAGTCGAAGAGCGCGGCGATGATGGTGGTAGCGCGACAGCGGCGCGGCGCGGCATTGCCATCAGGCATCGTGACGCTTCGCAGTCCGCGGTTATTCTTCGAAGTTCGTTCGTAATCGCGTTATCTGGTGCAAATTTCCGTCGATTAACCCGAAGAACAAAGCGCATACAATGTTGGAAAAAAGTGAGTGTCTACGTTATTAGAAAAATTTTGATATCAATCGCTTAAAAATATGACGTGTGTAGAGGTAGGACTTTTTGTTACGATGTCGTGTCGTCTTAAGGACTCGTTCAACAGGTTGTCCTGCGAACGCCGCTTTAAAATGGGGGATGCTTTAAAGTTCGAACGACTACTCGATGTTTCCGTTCCAGCGCGCTATGCGGATTTCCGTCTTTATCTTTTAAAGTGACTATGTTTGTGTAGACACATGTGCTTCCAACAGTTCTGCATAATTTCTGCAAGGGCACTGGATTATTTATTCAATATTCCACGTCAAGATTAGTTTTTTTTTTTTTAGTTCATGTTATTGTCCGTTGCAACTGATTCGTCGAATCTGTGAATATTTTGTTTTCGATGAAAATTAAAGTATCTGTTAATTTAATTCTGTTTGTAGAGACATACTTTCCATAATATTTGATAATTTCTTTAAAAAGTTGGTTTATTGATTGAAAATTATAATGAAAGTTATAAGTGAAAAAAAAGTATTTGTAAAATAATTTCTTTTAATGTTAATCTTCTTTTTCTTTTAATTCCTTCTATGATACATTTTGTATTTTGGATGAAGATTAAGGTGACTTTTAAATTTGTACAAATACAAGTAGGTTTTCAACAAGTTTTAGTAGTATTGTGGGAGGAATCATTTATTGTTTCGGAATTGTATTGGAAATTATAATTGAAAATACTTGTAGATATAATGACGAATTAATGCGTACTTGTAAATATGTACAATGTATTTCAATTCTATCTATTTGTTTATGTTTTTATATATTTCTTTTTTTTATATTTCTATTATAGTATAAACATCGCCTTAAATATTAAGACTTTGATTAAAGATTTATTTAATTATACTATAAAATTTCGTTAAATGATGTTTTAATCAAATATTGAAGCTTAAATATGATTATATAAATTCATTTATAATTTAGATCCTTTATTTAGGAAACTTATATACATACATAATACATAAATATTTAATTTCATATGAATATTTTATTTAACATGTACAGGGTGTCTCGGCGTTGATTATACAACCCGAAGGAAGTGATTGTACATAAACAAATAAGTCGAAAATATAGAATAAATTTTTTTCATTTGAGATTTTGTTTTCGAGAAAACCGACTTTGAATTTCCTCGGAATACGCATGCGCTTGACCATGTCGTGGTTAAACAGATCACGATACAAACCATATGCCGTAGGTTTATGAGTAATAACAACGCATGTAATTCTTAAGATTTACTTTATTAATGCAAAAATTGTTGAAAACGCTGGCTACCGTACTGCATACACAGGTGTGCTCCCCGAATTAAATTTGTAAATTAAATACCCCTTGATTTTTATCTGTGGGATCATACTAAATGAAAAGTTTATTTCGAAAACAACACCAGTCCTCCATAATTAAAAGTGAGGATCATTTTTGCGTTCGAAGAACTGAAAACGAAAAACGAAAAAATTGGAAAGCGTGCACGAAAATGTAATTCGGAAAGCACATCTGTGTATGCAGTACAGTGGTCAGCATTTTCAACAATTTTGCATTAATAAAGTGAATCTTAAGAATTACATAATCGTAAATCTATTGCATATGGTTTGTACCGTAATCCGTTTAAATTTTAATCCGACATAGTCAAGTGCATGCATATTCGGAGGAAATTCATAGTCGATTTTCTCGAGAACAAAGCCTGAAATGAAAAAAAATTTATTCCATATTCTCGACTTATTTCCTCATGTACAATCATCCCTTCTAGGTTGTACAATTAATACTGGGACACCCTGTATAAATTCGATATCCAGTGTAGAAATAATTCTGTAATAAAGGAAGCTCCAGTATAACTGATCTTTCAAACATTAAATGCTTAAATCAAGAAAAGAAAATGACAATCGAAACGTATTTCTTCATCACTTTACTAACGTTAACTCGTGGCGTTAATCGCGATTCCCCGCGTTCGAAGCAACGGTTAAATGTTAAACTCTATAAAGCACAAGATCGTATTTGAGACAAGCCCGACTCTCATTACTTTATCGAATAAGGATTTGTAAGAAGCGTTCGTAAATATTTACACGTTACGCATTAAAGGCTGTCTGAATACGTTTTACGAATATGAACTTAAGAGAGCCGACACATTGAATTTATTAAGTACATCGAGGATTGTGTGTTAAAACTGAGAAATTCGCGATACCTGACAGTGTTTAGCAAACACATAGAGGAAAACGTGCAGTAGAGCTTGTTGGTTGGCGGACCTCGATTACATAAAGGTGTCACGTTACCGCTCCGTAGATTGCACGAAATTGCAATATACGTGTGTTCAAGGCAGAAGACGCGTGCTATTTTCGTTTGTCGGGGACTGGCGTCTTCCGCTCCTGAGGTTCCTTCCGGTCGCGAAATTCAATTTGGACGACTCGATGATTGAGCATTTACTTTTTACCAATCAATTGGTTCTATTTATTCGATTTGAATACAGTGCTCTGCAAAAGTTTCTGATTAGATAAATTTGTTTATTTCATATTCCAAAAATATTATTTTAAAAAACTTTTAACTAATATTATACAATTATATGTATAACAATGTTTATTTGTTGTACTGTTTTCTTTTACTTTCAATGATCCTATATTCAATATTAACTTCAATTCTTGTAGATATTACTTTTAGAGTATGTTGATATAGTAAAAATCTATATAGCCCAAAATTTCAGCAATTAAGTGATTATCTAATATTTCTCTAGCATATTCATTTTCAATCTGTGACGTATAAATATGGAAATTTACGATAAGCTTTATTTCAACAACAGAAAGGTTTCATACCCTATCTATAAAATGGACCTAATATTTTTCAGAAAAAAAAGAATTCTTTGCTATTTTTCCATTAAGTTATATTAAAACATACTATTTAATATTAGATATATGAATATCAATACTGTTTCAGTATTTTACGTAGTTTCTAAGCCAAGAGAACACAGATACACCTACTGAAATGGCAAAATAGTTAAGAATAAAAATTGATGATAAATTTTAATTCTTAATTACATTAGGTAATAAAAAGTTTAGAAGTTTCTTTTATAGTGTAATGACAGTTAATTTTTTAATTATGTTCAACCGATGACTCGATGTTAAGGAAACTCTAAAATGTAAAAAGCCATTGCATAGATATCGTACTTTGAAGAATACTTTATGTTCTACGTACGATCTTTTCCATCTTCGTACGTCCTGTTACCTTTCTTTCCTTTTATTTTTGCTTCGAAGCTCATTAAGCTTGCTTCTATATTAATGACCCGCATCGTTCTTATAAAGAAGCAATTTAAGACCTCTTTAGTACGTTCCTTATCACGATTTAAGGTAACAAAATAGTAGCTGCTCTCGTTATAGGAGTAGATCTATCCTATACATGTTTTATCCAACGAAACAAGAGGACTATATTCATCCATACCGATGAATGAAAAAAATATTTTTCATTTGTACAAAATATGTAAAATTTATAATCCATAATGGGATTATCTTAACAGAAATACTTTCTATTATATAATATCTTAATTTAATAAAATTTAAGTATGAATTATGGACTAAATTATGAATTACGAATTATGAGCAGTAAATTTTTATCTAGATATACCTCCAAAACTTACATGTTTAAGACATTTGTTTAATTGTGAACATAAAGATTAAGGTCAATGTCATTTAAGCGCTGTCCTTACATCCTCTTAGGACTTACTCATACATTATGTGATTATGTATGCGTATGGTTAGAAAGGAAATTAATTTTTTAAAGCCCATGACCGGAAGGGAGGAGAAAGTAAGTATATAATGCCTGTGTATCTATTATTTTTAGAGTTTGCTCGAGGAAAGTTTCTCTGTTTTTTGTTGGGAAACTCACGCTGTGCCTTCAAGAGAAGTAATGTCATGCTTCCCGGGTCACATTGTCTGTCAATGCGGATATCACCTTTAAATAGTGTATTTGAAATAGACAAAGTGATTGATGAGCATATATGTTAGAAAGCAGATACGTCGAAAGAGTTCCACATCCATAAAATCAAATATTAAGATACAGTAATAAATGATCAGGAAAATAGCAAATATCTCAAAATGTTAAAGTAATTAAAAAAAGCGCGGAATTATGTTAAAAGTATAAATATTACGAAAATATATCTAATATATATATATATATAATTTGTTTAATAAATAAATAAAATAATACATCATAAAATACAACAGTCACTTGAGTACTTATTTTGTAAATATTACGTTATTAGAAAATATTTTATAAGTTCTATAGGACGATGATAATTAGTAGACTGCGAATTTTTATGCATTTACAGGAAATTTGAAAATGCAATGACGAAGATGCAAAAATAAAAGAAATATAAGATATTCAAAGTATAGTACTTTGGTGGATAAAAATTTTCGATCGAGATTCTATTTTCTTAATTATATTTTCAAACTGTGAATGTACATAAACGTCTGCAGTCAAATATTTAAGTACTTATAATTTGAGAAACGCAAATGCCAATCCGCCATATGCAAGGACAGCCTTGTGTTCGGTTTATTATACGTAAGACAGTCAACAATTTTATAGATTTCGTTTATTTTGTCATTATTTATAATCAAAGAGTTTCGACAATTTTCGTACAAATGAAATATTTTTATAGTTCAGAATTTTCCAAGTTAATTATTACGAATTATCTTATGTATTTTTAGTAAACAACAAGTAAAATTATGAGTTTGGATCCTTAAAGTACTTATTGATATTTTCAGAGAACGTTATGTTCGCTCCCACGTTTAAAGCTTCTTCCGCAACACCAGGTAAAGTTGCAAACGAAACGTGTGAGACTAACAGAGTGTTTTATATTATTACAAATCGTATATTAAAAAATAAACACGATGTCTAACAAATACGTTTGTATGTATTATCATTGTAATTATTGCTACTAAGATATGATTATATTACCACAGAATATGAAATTTTTCTGTCATTTAAAAGGCAATTTTGCAATAAATTTAACATAGGATTTATAACATTTTTAGACGGAATTTTTTCACGTAGTTTTCACGCATTTAGTAGTTTTCAAAATAATTATTTCCATGTCAAAATTCTGTAATATTATTGAATTTTTCATTCATTACCTGAATCTAGGACAACGTAAAGTCATTTTTTGAAAGTGGTTCTATTACTTAGTTACCTATATATGACATTAATTTCTTAGAAATATTTTTTAATTCCGTTCACAAAGATTTGGAATCCAGGTTATTTACTGAGAACAGAGAATAATTTATTGCATGTTTGAAATGTAGTAGACTTGAGATCTTACGAAAATATTTTGTATAATATTGTTGAATGGCGCATTCCCAATTTAAAAATTGTCTAATGTAACTTTAACTATTTACATATCCTGTATTTTTTGATATGCATGTTTGTAATTACTTGTTAATTATATGTGTTAAATATCGAAGCTTATCTATTCAAATGAAATTTTAGCAGGAATAAATATTTCTTTGATCTTCATAACCAATAATAATAATACGATTGTCATACAAAATTTAAATTATTTTTTTAAGACATATGGAGTATAAAAATAAAGTTGGATATACAGACGCCTAACATTTCATTAAGATTTGTTACAGATCGAAGTATGAAGCAATGATCATGATTATTCATTTGTTCGCGATTAATTAAATGATTCTTATTTTATGCGTAAAATCTAACAATATACAATCTATTTTTCTACTTAAATTCAGGTAGGAACACTCTCTTTGCATATACATATACACTTCCACAAATAGGTATTAGATATTCCTTAGCAATTTGTATATATACAAGATATTTAGATTTTTATTACTAATAAATTATTAGTTAAGATAATGATTCTGGTATACAGCAAAATCATGTGAAAGCTACCTGAAAAAGAGAAAGAGTTAGAAGAACATGATAAATTAAAATCATACTTATCTATATAATAAACTATTGATGTAAACCTCGTTGAAAAAATTTGGAATAAATTAAATGGAAAACTCATCTCTTTATGGACTTATTGACACACTTAGAACAAAAAAGAAACAATAAACATGATAGAAAATCTAATAATACGAGTATCAAAATTGATTAAAGTAGTAATCCAATGATGCAGGTAATATAGAGAAGGAAAAGTTATGTGTTATTTTATCACAAGTGATGAAATATTTTACTAAAATATTGAATGTACCTATGGATTTTATATACTTTTAAGATTATAATCAGGTAATATAATCAGGCAAAGATATTAATAAGTTTTTAATGACGTATAATATTAGGTATCCCTAAAAGAAATCAATACGGTTTAATTTAGGAAAATCAAATCGCTATTAAACATTTTATTAAGTGTCTCATATATTAAACATGTAACAAGACAAAATATTTACATATATTCATATGTACAACAACGATATTGTTTAATTTACTAAAATCGTTTTGCAATTAAACAAGGCGAAGACAAAACAGACAGTAAATAATTTATCTTTCTGATAATCTTTCCTAACACGTTTGTGTAATATTGGTATGTATCTCTTGTTTGAATCTTTGTAGTACGTCTGTTGCATGTAAGCAAGCCAGTTTATCTGAAGTTACATTAATGCTCATTAATGCCACTCAATTTCTGGCATATAATTTTTAAATAATTCAAAATGAAAATTGGCATAGAACGTGATAAGTTGTTTTAGAAAATCCCCACAGCATTACACTTTAATATACTCCTCGGTCAATTATAATTAGACGTATGTTAATACCGACGCCCACGAATTTCTAATTTTATGAACGTTCCTACCAAATGAACTGCTGTTTATCTTACTGTTGCAATCGACGCTTATAAAATCAAAATTGTTTTCCCGAATCTTATAGACTGCTTCGAGTGATGAATGAAAAGAACGAGACGACTTCGCCGTTTCCTTATCAAATTTTTGAATTTATTAAAGATTATACACTGCTCAAAGTAATTGATTTTAGAATTCTCTGATAAGAACAGAATGAAACTTAAAACAACGAAGTTTTGAAAAGGCCAGTGAATCAATTAATCTTCAGATCAAAAGTATCTTCTAGAATTATACTGACGCTTTTTCAAAATTACGAGCAGCACAAATTATTATAAAATTAATAAATTACTTGTGAATTTTTGTTGATATCAGAAGTTCGGGTGAAAGCATATGCCAAAGAAATCAAACTGAAAGCTATATATAAAATATAAATGCACGCAGTAAAAAGAAAACTTTATTCATCTACTTGACTAAAAATCATTCAAATTTCCAAAAATACATCACTATAAATCTATAAAATTGCTGCGAAAAACAATGGATTGTTCATTTTAATCGTCCGCGTTAGTCACTATGATCATGATTACATGATTATTCGCATGATCACTACATATTATTAAAGTTAAACTTTAGATATACTTTTGTGTAAGAATTATTGAGAAATTAAAAAAAGGAATATAGAAAAATATGAAAAAGTATATTTGTTCCACTCTTATATCAATAAAATAGTTCCAACGACATGACCAGATATTTGAAATAATATCGGAAAAGATTTCTAATTTATAGGAGGTTTATGTCGACATATTGTACACCTAATTCGAAATTTTTTATCGTACTCCTTAATTGGATTACGTATGAAAAATCCTTTAGACATATTTTATTTATGATCGTTATTTTAATAAGAAAAAATATATTTGTCTTGTACATATTGATCTCATTATGTTTTAAATGCGGAAGAGTAAAATGTAGTAAGATATTTCAAACCATAACAACGATTTAAATATACCAATTTCTGAAATTGAGATTAGATTTTGTAAAATTTTACTTTAAAATTACTGAAACTACAATATGTACTTGAGAAATTAGTTTTTGAAACTTTAAATGTGTGTAATGAAATATTCGCGATTTTGTTAAATTTATAAACAATTAAAATAAATAAATCATTGAAGCTAATAACGTTCTTGACAATTATACCTAGTCTTGATTGATATTATTTATAAACATCAGCACAACGATAGCCAGTAGTTAGAATGGGTAAATCGAGCTGTTGCGGCTAATTGAATGCGAATTCGATATTCTCAAAAACACACCTAAGTATGATAATATGTTGTGTTATATTTTCGACTATCTTTTACACGAGGAATCGCCTCCTTTTCGGTTAATACACAGACATTTTGTATGTGAAAAATAATTAAATTGCAATTGATCCCTTAGTTTAGTTATTCGTCCTTGTGGTTCAACTTTGAGAAATATATTTTCATAATTGTTTGTTTTATTTGTATAATTAGATTTATCGATGGATTAAATTACCATTATTGTGAAGTAATGAGTAATTGAAGACGATTCCCCTGTATTTCACACGATAGATTTTATAAAATAAAAGTTAAAATATTTACTAAATTAATAGTTCTTTGAAATAGATAAGGATAATAATTTTTTTATAGACAAAATCAAGACGGACCTAGTGTATTAAAAATTAAATGACTCCATTTAATAGTTGCGCGACTCAATTTTTGTCTGAACATTTTTTTCATATAGCATGTAACTTACCAGTAATTGGCATTTATAAATTAAAATCGGACACCTTGTATATATGTATATATCGCACACTTGCGATGGAAACGACATAACTCAAAAAACGCGATTTTCGAGTTGTCATTATGCAAATAATGCAGAGGCACTCTTGGAGCTATTATGAAAATCTTGTTCATTTATCTTCATAATTTGACGGGTAGAGAGAAATTACATACATGTGTATCTCGCCCTCGCAAAATCATCTGACAGTATGCTGTATTTTATAAATGCGTTTTATTATGGGATATGTCCTAACTAAAACAATGGTTTTCGAGAGTTAAAAACTAAAAATGAAGAGAAACTTAACTATAGTTAACTATAGTTAACACGAAGCTATTTCTACCAAAACCAGTGAAAATGACTGGTCTTTAAAAAGTACGTAATAATAGAATATTTTTATATTTATTGATTTATTACTTTCTTACAGAAGCAATTCCATGTTACGTAGTACATTTTTGGTATTAGTGATCCATCTGGAATCGTGATCCCTAAACGAGAGTTGACACATTTATAAAATTGTCGAACCAGTCAATTTGACTGGCGTGGTAGTTCTAGAGTTAAAGGTTGTTGCATACAAATAGGAATAAAACAGAAATTATTTCTTACTTTTTAGCGCATTTCGAATTGAGTAATATTTTTGAGCGAAAAATATTTCACATTTTTTAGTGAAGCGATCAATGAACGAAAAATGATTGTCATTATCACTAAAAAGACCGTCACTTATTTGTATCTATTTATTATTCCTTTCAATTTTTAATTCTTATTAGAGAATAAAAATTTATGCGAACTCCCCAGCGGATGAGGAATAAACCAGCTGTACTCCGCACCGTTATTACATGTATTTTGAATAGTGATAGAGGAGTGTATTTCAAAACTTGATAGTGTGTTACATATCATCGCGCAGTGAAAGTAGATTTATGCTCGAAAACGAATCCGCAGATCAATGTTTCCTGCGATGGAAACACGAGTTAAAGTCTATATTGAGAAACGTTACCGTCGAACGATTTGTACATACGGAATGAATTATTGAAGCAGCGCTTGCCCAGACAGCTGCTTTCAATGCAATACACGAAGAAGGAGTAATTGCGGAGGAGCGTCGCATTCAATATTTAAAATTCCGATGGCTACATTCTGATATCTCCGATAGTAGCAACATTTCAGATGACAAAATGTGATGGGGACATTGAACGAAGAATATTACCGTTTGTCCTAAGCTGGATAGTAACCGCAATTACAAGGAGCCTTTAATTTAATTTTTAAACCGTAATTACAGAATAGGGCCGTAATTGATCTTGGGAAAAAGAATTTTGCAAAGTTTAATCCGCGTGAAAAGTTTAGTCCGTCAAGCCATATCTGATTCAGCATGGAACAAAATTCTCAATAAACTGCATGACAAAGGAGACTCACAAAGAAACAGCTGAAGTCTACTTCCTACAACCAATGTATAAAGAAACGACCAAGTATGCTGAAAACGAGGAGATAATAATAACAGAAACGGGTCAAATAAACTTTGAGCGATAAGCCTATGAAAAGAAATGGATGACACAATGAAATGAAATAGGTGAATAATAGGTCATTTGCTATAACAATAGTTAAAAATAAAGAAATTGAAAAAATGTAAACAAGACCAATCGGCGATGATGTACCCCTACGAGATACAGAAGATTTTACCCCGATAGCTTATTCTAGTACAGAGCAATCGACAAACATACTTAAAAATTAGATTTTTGTAGTAAACAGTACTTGACGATAAATAAATGTGAAAAATTCTTTAATGGGACCAATGGGAGAACGTACCGTTTTGAACATGCCTCTGAAAACCTACCTCATACGATGCAAAAGGAATCATCTTGATTGGTCAAGCCATTTAGGAGAAATCGGCGAACATACATTAAAAACAAAACTCATCAAATTGAGATATCTTCCTTCTTTCCCGAAGTCGGTATAAAAAGTAACATAATTTTGAAATTCAGCGTTAAGTATCGTTTCTCCCTCTTAAGTTGTGTCTTATCCTAGGCCATAGCTGGATGTCGCACAGCACTACAGCGACAAGACCGACTACTGATCGATAAACATTTAATCCTACGACAATACGACAGCTTCCATATAAGTCAGGCATACAACGACATAAAAAAGGATAGTGCAAGATCGAAGGAGCAAATCAGTCGTACGACAATGCAACGTAGAAAAAGGAACTCTCCACCATTAGTAGCGATCGTTTCATGCGAAAATGATCATTGACCTGACTTCGGGTGCTTAAGATGGCCGCGTAGTGGGGTTGCTTTCGCCTTTGTATCGACGAGACAGCAATGATGCAACGACGAAACTTATTTATTTTAAATCTTTTGTTAATAAAAATCCCATTAATACATTGATAAGATTTTCAAGAGTAAAATCAGACCAAACACCATATCACAAAATTCTATAGTAAATTTTATATGAAAGTATATGAATATTGTCGCATTGCTTAATTTTATAATAATGTTATGTTTGATTTTATTTTAATAGAGAAGATCTCATCAATATGTTAACAAAAGATTTAAAATGAAAAAGTTTTGTTATTGCATTTAATGTTACTCCGTCGATACGGAGGAGAAAACCTGTCTCCACTGTGCGCACATACTGTGCAGCCCTCTCAAGTGCTGCACTTATGAATCTTCCTTTTTCTACATCGCATTATCGCAGCCATTAATCAGATTTACTGTCTTTTCCTGCTTCCACAACTCCTTCCACACAATCCTTTTTTAAGTATCTGACTTATATAGACACGGACTATCGAACTTGTCGATGTACAACATCCAATTAGGACAGAGCCTAAACTTATGCATGGAAGATCGTAATGTTTCGACTGGTCGGTCAACATTTCCTTCTCACCGTGGTTTTTATGGGATGGGGATCTATTCCTTCCAATTTTCTCTGTTGTTGCTGAATAATACCAGATGTTTACCTTAGAGCGAACCCATCGAGCACTTAGGTTGTTAGTTAGTCTCACGGCGAGATCTTCATCGTAAAGTTTACAATTTGGCAGGTACAAACTTCGGACTTTTCCAAAAAAGGCTGATGTGCTGTCCAAGTCATTAACTGAGAGTCACCCAAAATCCCGAACAATGTTCATGGTTACTAATGCTTAATTACTTCTAATTATAATAGTCTTCCTGCAAATTATTGTTACTATAATGAAAATCTTATTGTGATAACATCGGTATATTTAACACAAGTTAATTTTTGATTAAGTTATGGTAATAGAAACATTCTAAATCAAGGTAATATTTAACCGATGTTTTATTTTTATTTTCAAAAACTCTAACCTACTTTTCCACTACTAGGTTCAGACAATGAATAAAAAAAAAAAAAAAAAAACGGATAGATTCTAAATACGCATATTGTATATTGCAATATACGAGAGAAATGCTAATTATTATTTGTACAAATCAACAAAGGATTCAGTTTGATAATTAAGTAACGGTACATCATTTATCGATTCTAGAAAAATTCTTCTATATTATTTTTAGGAAAAGAAAAAAGAAAATGAGATACTAAGCATCAATTTTGATCTAAATTCAGCTTTTAATTCAAATTGACAAGAATAGAAATTAATTTTTATGTAAATTGCCGCCCATAAGCATTAGGATCCTGGTTACGTTTTCTGGAAAACTAAAAATAAAAAATCTTAAATTATAATTTTAGTATTTAGTATCTTACATTATAAGATACATATAACGCGATCTTAATAGCCGAAATAATGGTATAGGAACACTAAATTTACACTTAGAATTCATACTAGAATAATTATATATTTATTTGTTAAACGATTTCGAAGATATTCATCGATACATACTTGCACGCGCTTCAGCACTTCCATACCCGACTGTTAATCGACTGAACAGTTTACATTCGTTTGTTTTCGAGACGCCGCGCACACACATACTTCCACTCACTGATATTTACATACAAGTATTACTACTAGGCGTGTAACTTAGCCTAGCACATAAAATTATACATATCTCAATAGAAATATTAGATTTCTTAATCAAGGTCATGTAAACAAGTCTGGGCTTTCCTATATCAAAATCATTGACAAAACCATGATCATATAAGCAGGTTTCGATACTGTCCAAGGAGAATTGTCCGAAAAGTAAGTCGTGATCCTGACTAATTTTGGGAAATAAACACGAGAAAATTCTTCCGAGACAGACAAAGTACAAAGTTTCTATTTCTATCTGAGACATTCATAGTATATCACTCATGCACGGAACCTTCTTGTCTTCCATGTTGAATTTTCACAACTAATCACGACCATGATCATATGACAGGTCTCGATGCTCACACTGAAGCCTAGGCAAAATGATGCGAAGATTCGGTTGTGACTAGTTGGGAAAAACTAACATGAAAGACAAAAAGGTTCTCGTCCTGCGCATGCGTGACATGCTATGAATGTCTGAGACAAAGACAGAGATATTTTACTCATCTCTGTCCCGCAAGAACCCGGACTTTGTCGTCTTACATGCTGATTTTTCATAATTAGTCACTACCGGTAGGTTTTCCTTAGACCGGTGTATGAGTGTCGAGACCTGTTAATATGACTGTAGTCCACACCACGATCGTATACACAGGTCTAAAAACTCTCATAGCACGTTGGCTGCCACGACACCCGTATTCAGGTGTCAATAAAGTTTCTGGTAGGGCCGCGTAAACCCGTATTCGGGTGTCGTTTATTTGACTATTTGCGAAGAATCGTCGTAGGTATTTGAAAAGATATTCCGGAGGGAAGAATAAGACTATTGAATTGTTATAAAAGTAATTCGAAAATGGTTTATTAAAAAAATTATTTACTCGCATTACTAAAATATCGATGGGAGTACCTAGCAGAGAACGCTTGGTACTGCGGCACGCGTGGCCTGACGGAGATTTCCTTGAAAACACGCGTGGCAGTCAACGTAATTAGAGGAACACGTTAAGTCGAATCCAATTTATCAACAACTATGTTAAAGAAAGAGAGAGAGAGAGAGAGAGAGAGAGAGAGAGAAAGACTGAGAAACAGCTAGACTTCATTTGTTGAACGTCGAATGATTAGGTATGAAATGATGAAAATAATAGGTGATCTTGTAGAACCATTCCGTCCTCCCCGATTTCGATGATTTATAAATATGTTACAGAAATCAGCATTTTGAACATCTTTCTGTTATCATACAATCGTCGGCCTCGTTTAATTTCCGAAATATTCGCGACAAAGGAAGCTGGTACCGTCTTGCATGTGTATTTCTGCATATAGTTGTGCGTTTGTGGCTGTGTTGTTTGTCGGCCACTTATTTTCTGTTTGTAAAGGAAGGTTGTGCGAGCTTAAAGGCCTCGTGTACAACTGCACGTGTGAGGTTGTAACAAATGTCTGTTATAACTCACTTAAAAGTGAATATCATCAGTGTTTGGGTTCGATTTCTCAATCCGGCCGCCTCGCGACGGCCGAAAATGATTGCATGAACTAATAATAAATTAATTATAAAAATAATAGGGAAACGAATAATTGATATTATTTTATGAAATACAATAATCGTTATTATTTCACGCAAGCGTAGCCGGTCACCTCACAGCGGTCAGATTGAAAAATCTAACCCAAACCTAAATTCAATGCATCGATAATATTCACTTTTAATTGAGTTATAACAGTTATAATTATATTCACCTAAATTATTATATAATTATGATATAAAGATATACTAAAACATAATTATGATTATGATATAACGTGTTTGTTCCAACTTATATTCTCAGACGTAGATTTTTGGTGTTCCAAATTCTAAAAGGTGATCTAAAGCCTAAAGCTTCCACCCACTAAATAAAAAAGTAACATTTTATGCCTGCTCTTTTGTTCTTTCACGGAGTTCTGTGAAACAGCGGGGTAGGGAGCAAGACCGTGAGCCGCAGTCCGCTCATTCAACATATGTTACGATTGTATGTATGGATTTACCGTTAGATGATTTACATAATAGTTTCAGGTGGGAAACATATGATCACGTTACACAACGAAACCTATCTACTTGATTAAAACGTCTTTCTGTGGATAAATTGATCGACATTTGCTGGTTATTAAAAACCTTACCTTCGCCATAAGACTTTCCACATCCGGATATGTGACTGTGGTCCACACCAGTCTATATGGCTGTGGTTGGATGAGTGATCCGGCTATGTGATAGCGTCGATGTGCCAGGTACTGTGATTCAGAAGTATGTAAACTCGCTAAAGTAAACCATCCGAAAATTGATTTCGGATAATCAATATCCTACTGGATTTTCTGTGAAAAGATCTGTAGAAAGACTGACTAGACTCCGATTTTGATTATTTTTGTCTATGTTGTAGAAGTCGACAATTTGAACGATTTTTCTCTATATACATAAGGGCTGAATTCGCGTAGTTTCTGAGATATTCGTGAAAAACAACCAGTAACAGAACTGTGAATTCTGTCTATAGTTGTGCGTCTGTGGTGGCGTATAAGTTAGTATTAGTTGCGGACCACTGGCCGCTTATCTTCTGTTTATAAATAAGGGTCGGGCGAGCGCCGTGCACAACGTGCATGTGCGAAGATACAAGAAATGTTTACTACAGAGTTATCCACTTAAGTCGGAATCCGCGCACGTGAGAACATATGAGAATGGCAACAGTGTAACATGCACGCCATCTATGAGCTGTTGCTAGAAGTATAATTAGACGAGAATACAGAGCGGTTTAATAGTCGCCGGTGGACTTTAAATTTGCCGTCAAAATAGGAAGATGATGATCGCTGAGAAAGCGAGCTTCATGTTTTCGTTCAACGATTTTATACGCTTCTACGTTTCCGAAGCTTCGAAGCAAGCAAGGAACAAACAGTTTCCATCCTTCGTCGACTAGTCCGAACGAACTCAAGTACCACAGTACGAAGATTAAATTAATTTCTGTTTTTGTAAACTGGACTTTATAAATATGAATTCTAGGTTAATTCTGTATTAAATATGAGATTCTTATTCTATCTCGGTTGATTTCCTTGTTTCATATTCTTACATTCAACGTATTCACAACAGAGCGATCCAAAATCAGATAATACCGGACAATTTGTAGAAAGTGATTGTTATTTAAAAATTTTGACGTACAACTTAGACGAAAATGTTTTATATGTTAAAATTGAAAACTAACCGACGGAGTGGAAAAAGAACCTCGATGTTTGTATGAATGTGAATAATTTCAATTTTTTAATAATTTTGGCAATTGAATGTAGTTTTAAATAAAAACAAAAATTTCGTTATAATCGCATTTCAGGTAAGCATAAGCCAAGATATCAGTTATGAAAAAAAAATTGAGCTACATTTGGGAACAGAACTGCGCTTGCTTACTTCGAAGCCTCAGGAGCACACGGGAATTCGAAATTGTCGGGCGAAAACGCGAGGCTCATTTTCTCAGCGATCGTTTTCTCTTTATTGCGACGTCAAATTTAAAGTCCTTCGTTGACAGCTAAATCGCTCTGTGTTTTCGCCTAATTATACTTCTAGCAACAGCTCGTAGATTGCGAACGACATTAAATTGTAGTAGTAAGTGTACACGTTACACTGTTGCCATTTTCGTATGTTCTCGTAACCGTGGGTTCCAAGTTAAGTAGATAACTCTGTATATATGTATAAATATATTATATCATACCTGCTGGATGAACCACGAAACATCATCAATTTAGATTATTTTGTTGTTGTGAAAAAAAATTTTCAATCAGTCCATTAAGAGATTTAAAGAGACCTTTAAGATAATTATAATAAATTCCATTTTTGTTGTTTGTTGTTCTGTTGTTTAGGTTTTCCTGTTAGTGAATTTTCAAAGTCTTCAATTTTTTATGAATAAACTTTTAATTTTCTTGTACTTCCTTTCAGCGGGTATAAGATATACTAAGACGAATTCGATATGTATTATGTTCTCTGTCTAGCTAAACAGAGGAAACATTTAACAAATATCGATCCAAGTTCGTGAAGTAGTCGTTAATTTTGCGTTTACCCTAGTGTATTGCAGCTGATGGACGTCGGTTTGAATATCGTCTTAATCAAGATAAAGGATATCTTTGTAATGTTTCTTCGGTTGAAGTGGAAAAAGGATATTTGACGCATGTCAAATTCGTCTAAATATCAAGTAAAAGATAGATATCATGTAAACAAAATTATAAGTTCATCTATAATAAAACTGAAAATGGACTTCAAAATTACGAAAGAAAAGAGATGACTTTAGTATAATCATCTTAAAGACGCCATTAAGCCATGTTATACCAAACAAACATTGTTTCGATCAATTCACTAACAACAGAATGATCTAAATTGATTATGTTTCGTGACTCACTCTGTACGATGATACTAATTTTACTCTTCTTGACCTGTAAGCTTTTGCCAACATAAATAACATTTTATGTTTTATATGTATACATATATCTACTTGCGTATGCTGTAACCTATTTCATGATTCATAACATTCAAAATAGTCTTCTTAAATAACACATACGTTTGAAGTACATTGAAGAAAAATTTGAAATGCAAGGTATTTTTAAATAAATGTTTTCATTTACAGTATTTTCACTATGATAACACTTTTAGCGTTAAATCAAAAGATCTCAAATTACACATGGAGATTCTATACAGGATGCTTAGTTACAAATGTAAAAGAATTTACATTTGTCGATTCAGGGGCGACTCTTAAAGTTAAAACAAGATTAAAATCAGGGATGAAACAATTATGTTATCGGCTTTGTTTTTTAGTTATTGATTATTCATAAGTAGCCAAAATAATCCCTATGCGTGAGCAAATCTTCTTACACGAACGAAAGTAGGTCAACCTAAGCAGCCGAAATAGCGATTCTCAAATCAAACGATATATGGGCAGTAACTTGCCTCATGCAAGTAGAGAAGAAGACTATGACATTCGAAGATGTAAACCATTCTGCGCGGTGTTTTGTAAGAAAAATCATGGATTAAACGTTATACCTGCTTACTCATTAAAATCCATAACAACATATCGGAAACCGTCTTATGGAATTTTTTAGTGGAGAGGATTAATGTTTTCTCTTTTCCTTTGCCTCCATAAATAATTAATAAATGATATCACATATAAACAATGTTTATACAAATTTCACACACGCACCGCGATCGTCCCGTCCGCGGGTGTTCACAGAAAAATCGCATATGCATTAAATACTTTGAGGTGCTACTAAATGTGGTCGAACGCTGTCTTGCACGAATCACACATATTTTCCACACAAATATCTCATTCACATACATACACATGAAATAAAGAACGAAGATACATATATATGTACATTTATTAATTTGGAATTCACAAATATTTAAATATATATGTCGCGTTCACATTATGATTAGGGTTAGGGGCGTGAAACGAATCTTCATTTAAATTTGACATTGTTGTTATGCAATAGAGAAGATATTTACTAGTACAAATACGATTATCGCAGAATTTGACAAGTAACTGTATTATAGACAAGTAATTACATACTCGAGATGCTAATGACAACGATCCTAGGTTCAATAACGAATCCGCGGTCAACGGGTTAACAAAATGCGCTTTCTTCCAAAGTCCACGTTGTACTCAACTTGCTTGTCTACGGTACAAGTATTACCGAACTAGCTCTTTGTTAAAACGTCAAAACAGCAACGCCAATTTCCCTCACTTTCCGAACGAAGGCTATCCCCGACGAATCCGATGATCTCGTGTCCCCATCATAGTTTTCCTCTGCAGCATCATCGCGATGGAAAGTCGTTTCTCTCTTAGGAGTTTCTCTCTATTAGCGAGTGACTTATCGTCTTTACGCTCGGTGGATATTCCACGTTTTAACAAAGAATTAGTTTAGTAATACTTGCACCGTAGCCAAGCAAGTTGAGTACGACTTGTGTTTTGGAAGAAAGCGCATTCTGTTACCCCGTTGACCGCGGATTCGTTGTTGGACCTAGGATCATTGTCATTAGCTTCTCGAGTGTCTGATTACCGCGGTTACTTGTCAAATTCTGTAATTGTCGTATTTGCACTAGTCAATGTCTTCTCCATTGCATAGCAACAATGTGTAGTCCAAATGAGGATTCGTTTCACGCCCCTAACCCTAATCATAATGAGAACTTGACATATATATTTACATGAATAAATAAATAAATATATATATTAATTATATTATAATATATATATCTTAGTTATATATATTAATTATTTAGTATCAAAAAATTCAAGTGTATGTGTGACGCTTTCTGAAAAATTCAGGATCGCTTGCCAATCAGTCGTAAGTCAAGAATTGTCAGAGCACAACGTATTATGCAAGAAGTTGTTTAAAAACGTATTGAATCGTGTTGTTTTTCATCGTGCTATGTTGTACAAGTTGTACAATACAAATTGTATCGAATTGTGTTGTGCTAAATTGTAAAACATCGAGTTATTAGGTTTCTTGTTCTATTTTCGTTCTTTAAAATTTAATAAACATACTTCTTCAAACCAAAATCCTACATGCACACGATATATCATATCCTGCGTAGTTATACGTATACTTAGGAATAAGCAACATAGAAAAGTAGAAGAATTACCTTGTTTTATAATTTGTTTGCCACTTTTGTTTAGAATTTTCTCCTCTTCTTAATTTGCCATATTTTCTTCTTTTATTCTGTTCTGTGTAATCTGTCTTCTTCTCTCCTTCTCTTCTTTTTTCTATTTCTCTCCTTTCCCTTATTCACATTTCCTACATACACATAATTATTGTTATATCGTGTGATTATATACAGGGTGGTTGGTAACTGGCGGTACAAGCGGAAAGGAGGTGATTCTACGCGAAAAAGAAGTCGAAAATATAGAATAAAAATTTTTCGTTTGAGACTTTGTTTTCGAGAAAATCGACTTTGAATTTTCGCTCGGTACGCGTGCACTTTATCGCGTCTCGTTATAACTCATTTGTCCCTGGCATCAACCACGGTAACTGTAACAAAACGGAAATTTCATCTCTTTATTTTCAGTTAACAAATTTGCAAATTGAATCATTTATCTTCCCGCCACACTAACTTTGTTTCATTCTATCGGTTAAAAATCAAACAATAAACTATGTTTAAAAGATGAAGAACGGATAAGTGTTGATTTTAATAGAAATTTTATCTTTTTACTTTTAAGAAAAGTCTTTCCTTTACAACGACATATAAAAATTTGATATACGATCTTTTTCGCCGTTTTATCACACCTTAAATGAAAAGTATCCGCTAACATTGTAATTATCCAAGATGTACCACGAAATTGCATAGTGTTTGAAATTACGTAGAACTTGCATCGTTTGTGATGTGTATGATAAACGCGTGTGTTTAGTAATGCTTCTGTAGTGTGAGTGTATAGTGTGTTTGGAAACGAGTATTAAACCGAATTTACACTTCCTTTGTAGAGACAGGGCAGATGAATGCTGCGTTCCTCCAAAGTGAAACAATAAATTCGGCTTTCATTCATTTCAAAAGGCCTCTCATTGCCTTATCACTTCTTGGCATCGTTCGTGCATATTCGTACAGCGTCCTTTAATTATTAGGGGAAACTGTTTCAAACCCTCCGAAGTGCATCTTCCAATCCCAATGCATCCAATATCACTAGATGGTTTTCCAGATTTTGTGGGCGTTGTTCAAGAATAAGAATTAATGTGTAATCAATTAACATGTTGTGTATTAGCATAAACGAATGATGCCAAGAAGCGATAAGGCAACTAAGGGGTAATATTCGTTTCTAAATATGCTAAACTCAGCGCTAAATACTCATACTATAAACACGTATACTACACGTGCACTGAACACATGCTTGACACACACGCACTGATACTAAACACACATACACTAGAAGCATTCTAAACATATACACTACACGAGGCACAAGTTGGACCGCGGAATCTTATTGTTTATTTTGAATTATTCCAATACTAACTGCATACCTTTTGCTCTAAATGCGATGAGACGACGAAAAGAATCGTACACCAACTTTTTAGAGGATATTGTAAAGGACAAATTTCTCTTTATAAATTCATCTTAAAACGAACTCCAAGAAAGAAAAGAAGAGAAGAAAAGTTAATTTTCCACGCCGTTTTCTAACAAAAAAAGGATCTTTGAAAAGATTAAGTTCAAGACCGTGAAAGCAAAGAATTCCCCATTTAAAATGAACTGCGGTAGAGAGTTGTACGATTTTTTCTTTATGAAGTTACAGCAGTTTAAATATTGACAATCTTTCGGTCAAAATTCAGAGGTCCCTTAATTTTGTGGCGTAGTGAATATTGAAAATTAAAAAATTCAGTGGTCCTTCAATTTTGTGGCGTAGTGAATATTCAAAATTTAAATCTGTCACAAAAACACATATTTTATTATTACTCTCAAGAAGACTAAAATTACAATGAATCTCACAAGAGCGGCAAAATCTTTGGAACAGATCTTGAACGGTTAATGATCATTTCAAAATTGCACGCGAAGCACGAATGATTATCGTCGTCAGCATGAATGCCCAAAAATTTCTTCCGTCCTTTTCTAGAATCGATTTATCTAATGGAATGAGAAATCGGCATGGGAAGAGCAATGTACCTTTATGCTTTGTTAGGCAGAATGTTTCGAAGAATCGATGTACAGGTTGTTCGGCTACAGGTTTCCGACAATTTAAGGGCTGATTCTTAAAGACAAAATAAGACGAAAATCAAGAATAAAAAATTGCGTTTTCGGCTTTGTTTTTTAGTTATTGACAATTAAAAATCGGTCAACATGTCCCCGCACATGGGCAAACCATCTTACTCAATCCCAAAGAAGACCACAGCATTCAGAGACGTAAACAACCCCACGCAATGTTTTGCAAAGGAAATGGTAGATTGAACATTAAACCTGCTGACTCGTGCAAATCCATAAGAGCATTTCGAAAACTATCCTATACAATTTCCGAGTAGAGAGGATTAAGGTTCCTGTAATTTTTTAAAGCTGCGAGTCACTACAGCAAAATCACACACGCACCACGATTATCCCGTCCGCGAGTGTTTACAGCAATATCACACACGCACTGCGAATGTCTCGGTCGCGAGTATCCAGAAAAGATACAACAAATTACAACAGATATTCGATATGTCCTCCGCTTTCTTGTAAACAGTACCTGACTTTTCTCTTAGAATTTTGCCGTATTCTGTATTCACACGTCTGCAGTGATAAAGGTCTGAAAATAGGACCCTTCTCCATTTCTTTTTCCAATGCACTCTTTCTTTTGCAAAGCGTAAACGTTCTACTTTGTGTTTCGTTGTTAACGAAGGTTTCTTTTTCGATTTTAGCCTCTTGACATTTTTGCAGGATAGTAGAACTCGACGAACACTTGAAACACTGGCACTAACACTACATTTTTCCATTATTTGCTTCGTTGTTAACTGCGAATTGGAAGCTACACGAAAAATTGCTCGCTTATCACTAGTACTTTTCTTTTTGCCAGCGTAAACGTTCTACTTTGTGTTTCGTTGTTAACGAAGGTTTCTTTTTCGATTTTAGCCTCTTGACATTTTTGCAGGATAGTAGAACTCGACGAACACTTGAAACACTGGCACTAACACTACATTTTTCCATTATTTGCTTCGTTGTTAACTGCGAATTGGAAGCTACACGAAAAATTGCTCGCTTATCACTAGTACTTTTCTTTTTGCCAGAATCTTCAACATTTTTTAAGAAATTGTGTATTACTTTACGACTTCTTCTTATTACTTTCGATATTTTTGCTACTGATAACTGTTGCTGTTTTAGTTCAAGAATTTGCTTTTTCAGACTCGTTTTTTTCCGCGTCCCAAATACTTACAAATTTATATAATATTGTACTGTAATCTTTACTCGTTGATAAATCATGGCTTACTGAACAATTTCTAAAAATATTAGCAGAGCGTGCTATCTCTTCGTTCTTAAAATAAAACAATTTTTTTGCTACACACTAAATCTCGTAATATTTTTAATTAATTTCAACGAACCGCATATCCTGAGCTCATAATATTTTGATATTATACGTTACAGATGAAAAACTTTACACGCGTCATTGAGAAATTAAAGATAGCTCACCTGGGCTATCTCTTTAACAAGGAATGTACCTGTTTCCAAAACAGCTCAAGTGCTCTTGCATTGCGCTGGTAGAATGTGTGACACGCCATCCTGCGTGAACCATCTCTTAATGTGCGTGGATTTTCACGTACCTGGAAATGTTCCATATATATATTTGTTATTTCACATTTATTAAATGTTGCCTCATCAGTAAATTGTTGCCTCACGGGGAAATTGGAATTGCGTTAGATTTTTCGATTCATTCGTTTGCGAAGATTTTTTCTACTTGAATTTTCTTGAATAAGGTGCAGTATTTTATCTCCGAAATGCGGATCGTCGTGCTGAATTTGTCCGCCAGATTTCGCAGAATTTAACGTACCGGTATCCCGCAATCGTTGGTTTATTTTGTAAAAAGTATTGCTACATTGCATACAGCTCTCACTGCACGAACATTTCTCGAATTACGCGTATTGCACACCCAATACACCTAAATAACATTCTAACTTAATATTTTCACTTCTTTGAAAGTTCCTCGTCGATCGTCGGAACGATTCCGTTCTTCCAAAACTGTTCTAACCTCTTGCTTCGAAATGTCTAAAGCATGGCAATGTAATGATGGAGAGTTCATTCCGAAAGAAACATTTACGATACAAGGGTATGATATTGAGAAAGCTACCATGCTGTGCACCAAATGTGTTTAAAAAGAAGCGAAGACCTATTTTGCATAATCTTCAAACTTTACATAGCTAGAGATTCATTAGAGATGGTCATTGGAAAAGTGGACTTCGTGTTTACTCGATGGATTTCGGAAATATTTCAATTTTTCAAGCCGTATGTTTCAAGCATGGAAAGGAAAAAATTAGAAGAATACATTTAACATTTACATAACAAGAATAATTTAACATTTCGTAGGAACTGTTGAAAAACTGACTATAAGTTTTTCGATAAATATTTGCTTTTCATCACAAAATTTCTAATAATATACATACACACACACGCGCGCGCACGTTATATATGTTAGTACAAATACAATTTATTTCAATAAATTACAATCCATTGTATAATTTTTACATGATGAATTATTTCTTAATACGTATCTCGTTTGTATTTACACTTTTTTCGTAATTAATGTGCAAGTTTTAACATTACGTTAAATGACAATTATTAGATTGCGGATTTTTATGGATTTATAGGAAATTTGAAAATGAAAAAGTGCAGAGAATGCATCATATATCAATGCATTATATATTTTATTATATATTTTATTATTACTATTATATATTTAATGCATTATATATTATCAGTGCATTCACACATTTGATATAAAATGATATATCGAGATATATAAAATACCTAAAGTATAGTACTTTATTTAGTAAGTGAAACAATTGTCTATACCTACATTTCATTTTTTAATTATGTCCATAATTAAAAAATATGAATTTATATAAATATCTACAGTCTAACAATTATGAGTACGAAATATTAATAGCTATAGTTTACTAATACGAATATTTGCTACTAGGCGTTTGGTCACCTGGAAGCGAGCCACCGCCACCCCCAAAGGAACCGAGTCCTGGACAGAAAGAACCTCCAAAGGATACTGGAATCCCTCCTGTCTGGACGCCTTCCAGCGCCGGAACCAGTCCAGTTCCTGAAAAAAAGGAATTTCGACCGGTGCAATTCGAAAGCCCTATTCTGAGCCGAAAAAAGCCAGCGCAGCAAGAAGTAAGTTATCAAGAGACATATGCTACGATCCATTTCGTTCGCCCACAAACTTGAACGAGATTTAATAGTCTCGTTTCCACCCCACTAAAAGTAGGGAATGTAAACGTTTGTTGAAACGATCGAAATATAACGTTACTTAAAGGTTTATTATATTTACGTTTTTATTTATAATATTAGATGTATGAAAGAACTTTGTGCTATTATTAGGTCTACACGCCCCCGGAAATTTCTATTTGTTTTAAATACATCTCAAAGAAACTTCAAGTGACTATAATCGTATTGTTCCTTGCTGAAACCCGTAAAGCAATATATACAGGGTGGTTGGTAACTGGTGGTACAAGCGGAAATGGGGCGATTCTACGCGAAAAAAGAAGTCGAAAATATAGAATACAAATTTTTCGTTCGAGACTTTGTTTTCGAGAAAATCGACTTTGAATTTTCGCTCGGTACGCGTGCACTTTATTGCGTATCGTTATAACGGATCTCACTGTAGATCGTTGTCACGATGGAAAAATTAAAAAAAAAAATTTTTTATTCTACACTTTCGACTTCTTTGTTCGCGTAGAATCATCCCCTTTCCGCTTGTACCAGTTACCAACCACCCTGTATAATATAACAGTAATATAGTGCCGTAAATGCACTATTTGAACGAACACATTTTTTGTATTTTCATTGGCGAAAGGACCAAAGAATAAATTTGTAAATTAGTATAATTTTTCATAAATAACCTTTATTTTTGAAAACCTTCAATAATTTCTTTATTATGTATCCTCCATCGATGTTACAGAACTTTTAAAAGCATAGAATTTTTTTCGACATCTACTCATTACTATTGATTTATAACTTTTTTTAGTAGACGCTTACTTATTTGAGAGATCATGCACATGATTGCTTAATAATCTCTCATTTATTTTCAAAGGGATATTTGACTATACACGAATATTCATGTATAGTAATGTATATAATATTTCCAGATTTGTGAAGATTTATTTTATTTATATAATTAATATATTACATACATCGTGGAATTAAAATTAGGATTCAGCTACTTTTGAGTTTTCGAAAATTTAAAATCATTTAAGTCTATTTATTATTATTAGCCATTAGTTGTACGAATGTCTTAACAGCACGAGTATTAATAGAAATCAGAATTGCTTTAGAAATTTATATCCCTTTATTATTAACGCTTTTTCTCCGTTCGTGTCATTTGTCAGAGTACACAGGAGGCCCCACCACCTTGGGAAACGGAAGAAGAAAAGAAAGAAACGTCCCGAAGTTGTTATGACAGCAGTACGCGAATTGTCAATTCGCATTCAGCACCTTCGCAAGGATTAAGTTCGTTAAGTTCAACACCTCATCTGCCACGTGCCCAGAATCCAACTATAACGCTGCTTCAGAAAGCAAGAGGTGAAAGACAAACCTCAACGTAAAAAATAGATTCATATAAAAAAAGAACGAATAATAAAGTTTTAAAAAAGTACGAAAGAACATTTAAATATAACACGCGGAAATATAGCTTTATTTAAGAAATTTAAACAAATTTTAATATATATTTTGATATTTATTATTATTACTACTATTTATTTGTTTTTCTTTACATGTACAGTTGCACGTACTCGAATTGGTTCATACTTGAAACAGAATAAGCTTCTTAACATTGAATCAAACAACTTGAGCTTTTTCGAGAAGTTGGAAGGATTAGTTTACTAGATGACGTGTAAAGGACTTTTCGAAAAATGACATTTAATTGTAATCGCAAAGAACATAGCGAAGTAGTAAAATAGTAAAGCTTGTAACGAAACTTTAAAAAATACGTTCTGTGGATTTATGTCAGTTACACGTATACATATACATATACATAAGCTGCAAATTTAATCAAAATCTCTTAATGCGAAAACAAGCCGTAGCCTTCGGAATTTTCAAATTTATTGCAGTAATAAGCTGAAAGTAGTGCTAGTAAAAAACTGCAATTTTCACTATTTTTAATCGTTTGTAGCACATAGCAACGTTAACCGATTTCGATAAAATGTATATAACTGATATAAATCTACAAAACACATGTTTAAAATCTTCATTGCAGTCTTAGATATGAAAGTTGTAAAAACCCAGCTGTACTGTTTTCTGCGCAATTCCAACCAATTGCGATTTTTTCGAAATTCTTTTATACGTCATCTAGTAAATTAATCCTTTCAACTTTTCAGAACAACTCAACTCTTTTGGTTTCATTTTAAAAAAGTTATTCTGTTTTGAAGGATGTACGATTACGAGTGATAGTAATATAAATTTATAAATGTATGAACAAAGGAAATAAAAAATATATAAAAAGAATATATATATATATATATAATAGTAATAATCATTATATAGCATATGTATATAAAACATATACATATCATATATAATTATATAACTATTAAATGTGTTATATAATTACATGTTATATATTATATTGCATATACGAAACAATTGTATAACAATTATATGTTATATATACATATATAATGATTATTATATATATCTTTTTTATATATTTTTATATATTTTTTATTTCTTTTATATTATTTATTATTTATGTATATATTTTATTATTATTTATATATATTATTATTATTTATATATATATTTTATATATATATATTATATATTATTTATTTTATACATTTTTTATTTTTTATTTCTTGCCTTTTTCTGAGGCATTTATAAATGTATACAATTACTGTCACTCGTAATCGTACACCTTGAAAAAGATAACGGAATAACTATTTTTAAAATTGGAGCAAAAATGATTGTTATATATCCATTTATCTCGGAACACGCGATTCACTCGGATACAATTATCGGGATCCTTTATAGTGTTTTTGAAAATTAGCTCCGACCGGGTTATCGTGAAGAGTGATGAATGAATTGCCCCTTTCACTCGTTTACTTGATATTGTCACGTAAAATAACACAAGAGAACAACAACAAAAAAAAAAAAAAAAATAGAAAAAAAACTTTATTTTTCTTCTAACACAATTCACAATGTTTCTTCCGAGCTCTAGGCGTGACTATCCAAGACTGAGACTTACAACTCGACTTCCGATCGGATTCGGTTATTTGCCTTTTGTCACCCCTCAATATCCCCACTATCCTTAAGTTTGTTAGGCATTCGCGATCGCCGCCACGCACGCCTCCTCCTCGAATATTCAGCGGAAGGATCGTTGGGATATTGATGGCTCATTAGGCACTTGGGCGATATACATTGTTTATACATGCCACATCTTTATCTCCGATTTTAAAGTGAGCCGGTCGTGACAGCGGCCTGGTCTCTGATGTGGATTGACGTTACAATATCGTCGCGATCAATATTTACAACACCAGGCTACAGATGCTCAGCCATGTCGAGTTACATGAATTACAAATTTTGTAGAGTTTTAAAAAGTTATTACAAAGAATTTCCAATTGTCTGAACGTGAACTCTATAAGGTGTATCTCACGTACTCCTTCGTTTCTCGTTCTTGCAGTCAATGTATTCATAGCAGAGCGATTCGAAACCAGATAATAGCGACCAATTTATAGAATGCGGTCGTTATCAAATTTTAAATTACAACGTATATAAAAGAAAATATTTAACATGTTAATGATGAATTATCCTAGCTCAACGAAGTAAAAAAAGAGTCTAGATGTTTGTGAGGATGTAAATAATAATATTGTACATAGTTACTTTTCAGACAGACGGCTGATTTAAAATCGATGTATGATTGTAATAGTAACCATATATGTTATGGATTTTGGAAGTTAAATTCCAATATAAAACACATGAATTCCTTAGAATATAAAATTATATGATAATATTAGGTCGTCAGGAAAGTTTTTTTCCCGCTCGCCGCTCGGGGCCTTATTTCGTTCTACTCGTGTAAACAAACCACCAGATCACTCTACCGTCAATCGTGTGATCACTAGTTATCCTCTGGTAAGGCAAGAGAGCAGTTCTCGACATTAGTAGAAAGTGCATCGAGTGTTTTTTGCATGATGAAATATGGAAGACCAAAAGATGCATTTTCGTCACGTTATGTTTCATTGCTTTAAAAAAGACAGTACGCCTAAAAACACTGCAAAGGTGATTTGTGACGTTTGTGGTGATCGGTTTATAACTGTTCAAACAGTCCGGAATTGTTTTAGGAAGTTTAAAGCCGGAAATTTTAATCTGAAAAATGAAGATCGCAGCGAACGTCCATCCACCACTGACACTGACCTTATCAAGGCCTACCTCGATGAAAACCTAAGATCTAGTGTTCGTGAGATAACAGATACTTTAAACATTTCGCGAATAACGATTCATGAGCATTTAACAAAGTTTGGGTATGTTAATCGCTACGAAGTGTAGGTTCCCCATCAACTAACGGAGAGCAATCCCCTGAATCGAATCTCGACATGCGATTTACTAATTCAACGCAATAAAAGAGTACCATTTTTAAAAAAGTTTATTACTGGGGGTGGAAGTTGAATTCTCTGCGACAACACCGCGCGTAAGCGATCTTGGTCGAGTCGAGATAAGTGCCCTCTCAATAAAAAATGGCATTATGAGGCTCCCGGAGAGATGGCAAAATGTGGTAGAACAGAAAGGATCATACATGATTTAAGAAAAGTACACAGGAGGAAATATATTTTATACTTACCTGCTATTAAAAAAACGAAAAGGAATTTCCTGACAACCTAATATAATTACTAATTAATGATTTTATTACAATTCTCTTATAATACGTTTCATTCTAGCCTTTTCATATGTTTCAAGGGATTTAATTTTAAACGTTTGGGGAGTGGAGAAAGTGTAAACACTTTTGGAATACGAATGATGAAAAATTTTGGAAGACAAAATGCGAGCGATGCTGATAGACGCGCATTTCTTGGGAGATTTTTGAGCAGAAATAGTCGTGACTGTAGCATGTACATAAATATAACGCCAACCGGTATAAACAAAATGGCAACACCACTAGAAGAGTAAGTAGGTAAGAAGCCGACTGCTTTGTATTTGAAGATATTTAGGAGTATCACATACTATTATATACCCAAAGAGGCAAGAAATAAGTTAGATAAAAGAGCAAAGAGAATATCTGTAAGGATATGTAAAGAACAGCTTACAGAATATATGATCTGAAAAGTAAGGAAATAGAGGTGGTGAGGGCGGTAAAATTGAATAAAGAAGTCAGCGGTTCTAAGCTGTTACAGGAAGGTGGATATGAAAGTGATTCGGGAAAAACAAGATATGTTGAAGGAAGCACAAAAGAATACCGCGAGGATGAAAAACAGATAACACCGTTGATTGAAGACATGGAAGAGGACGTAGAGAATCAACAGTAGGAAATTAGTGATAGCCTGTGTGATGATAATGTACAGGAATCACATGAGATAACATATAAAGGAAAAACTATAAGATTTAGAACATAGAATAAATTTCAAACAAAGGAAAGAACACAAGGGCGAGGAGTAGGAAAATGGAACAGGCAAATAATGTGATGTTATGTAACATATTGATTTCTAACAATGAAGATGTGGCAGTAATTTCAGGAAAAACAGAAAACTGGAAGAAGGCGATGAATGAATAAATAATGTCCATGGAGCAGCGTAACGTGTGGAACTTGGTACCGAGAAAAATTCAAATGGGAGTTATAAAGAGCAAGTAGATATTCCATGTCAAATTCCGTATCCTCAACAAAGTAGTACTGTATAAAAATAGATCGGTAGGCGTTGGTTGTCAGCTAAAGTTAAGAGTACATTGTGAAGTATCCTCCGCACTCGTGATAAAACTAGAGACTGTTAAGGCTATATCAGCATTAACCATTATATATAATAATAAAGCAGTTTGATGTAAAATGCGCATATTTACATAATAAGATAAATGAAGAAGTTTATGTTATAATGTGGAATAACTTCCAGGATTTACAAAGGCTCGAGACAAAGCCTGTACTTGAATAGAAGTATATATGGACTACCCCAGCTAGGATATCACTGGAATCAAAACATAAATGATGTTCTTAGGAACGAATGATTTAGGAATGCCAAGATTAGAGGAAGACCCATGCGTTTATAAAATTTAGGATAGAAATAGTATAATATTACTATATGCATATGTTGTGTGTGCATGCGCATATGCATGTTAAGTATAGTCAAGGAAATTAGAACTATTTCTAATATATGACATCCTATGACAGTAAAAGGAATTAATAAGCAAATAGAGTTACTTCAGAACCAAAATATTAATTTCTTAAACATGAAGATCGAGAAGAATGAATTAGAATTAAGTTTGTTTCAGACAAGTTATACAGATAAGATTCTTAATACAAATTAGTGCAATCCAGTAAAGACACCGATAGATTCACAACAAAATTTAGACATTCGCGATAATGCCACAACGGTAGACACGCAGATATATCGGGAAATGCTTGGGGATCTGTTTGTAGGCTCAGGGCCTAACGTATCGTTCTGTACAAGCAAGTTATTCCAATACAGCCAAAACCCTAAATCCATTTAAAGGCGTTGAGAAGGTACAGGTACCAAAGATCATAGATTTCACTACAGAAGAGTAGGGTATAGCATAAACGCGACTACAGATGCAAACTGGAGCGTTACATCGGACGCAAAATCCTACAGTGGGTACTCAAGAAAAATAACAACCAGCTTAGTGAGTAGAAAGAGCAAGAAACAGAACTTGGTGGCTTTTTCAAGGTGCGAAGTACAACTTATAGCAATATGTGATAGTTAGGTTAAATGGATTGTAAGTTTAATAGACAATCTAGGTTTAGAAAACAAATATAGATTAGTATGATCAAAAATAGATAGCAATGCTACAATTGACCGAGTTAAGAAGGAAAATGTAACGAATCGAACAAAAACATCAAGTGGAAGGACTATTTTCTAAAGGATGAAATGAGGAATGGGATAAATTTAAGATATACATGTTCTAGAAAAATGAAAGCGGGTGTATTAATAAAGTCGTTAGAGTACGAGCGACATGTAAAATGCATCAATATGTTGATGTTAGTAGATAAAGCTGGCATACAGGACTGTAAGATAACGATGTTACTAACAGTAAGTACGTATGTAGCAACACACTATGAAAAGAAGTAAGATAATAAGAGTAACTTTAATAGGATGTGAACGAAGGTTAGAATAATATGTATTGTAAGAATATTGTAATACAACCGTTAATTTCAGCAATTATGTTAAATTGAAGGAATTCGTGTGTCTTTTTATTAGAGCAATGTTGCCATTTTCCGAGTTCTTGCGCTTGTTTCGCGGGTTCCGAGTAAGGTACATGGATCTGTATATATAGTTTTCTATTTTAATTATATATATACAGGGTGGTTGGTAATTGGTGATACAAGCGGAAAGGGGGTGATTCTACGCGAAAAAAAGAAGTTGAAAATATAGAACCCGTATTTATTGTCTTGTCTTTTGATCTCCTGCTCTTTTCTTTTTCTAGTTCCTTGTTTATCAACCCTCCCTCTTCTCCCGTTCTTGCATTCCAATCTCCTCCTATGATCGCCACTTCCTCTTTCCTTCCCTCTACTCTTTCCTCTATTTCTTTCCATGTCCTTTTTGCGTTCCGATTATAAACCACCACAATTCCTCTCCTTGTACCTTATTTTTCTTTCTACTATGTTGTCACTTATTTCTTTATACTCTGTTACGTCGCGTAACACTCTACCTAGCCGAGGCCACACACCGCGGGCAAGATGGTAACCAGATGTCTTCGGATACTCACTGCGTACCCTCAATAGTCTCAAGTACCTTCCATAAATCTCATAGATTTCCTAGTAGAGGTCCTTCAAACCAAACAAACGTCTGTTTAC